TATGAAAGACACTTCTTGAAAATGCCTAAAGAAAGTTGTCATTTTTTCATGCTAAAGGGACTGGAGTCCGTGTTGATGAAAACACCTTGGTGGCTGCCGTGACTGACAGTGTCTGCAGCAGCGGGGTGATGGGGCTGGTGCCTTCCCCTGATCAGCCCGTTCGACTCCCACAAAGGGTGGCCAGACTGTGGCTTAGGCCCACTCCCCAAGGGGAGCAGGGAGCAGGTAGTAGGACATCCCCTAGGGCTCCCAGTATGTGATAGGGGGCAAGCTGGGCTGAGGGAACCCCCTCCCCAGTGCACAAATTTTTGTGCACCGGGCCCCTAGTATATATATAAAAGCCCAACAACCAAACAGCAGAATAACCACAGAACAACTGGTCAATCAGCCGCTATGACACGCACTGACCACCAGGGGGCAGGAGCTCAATGCAGGAACTGCCCCCTGGTGGTCAGTGCAATCCCACAGTGGAAGCTCTGCTCAGCTGACTGGGATGACCGGTGCTCCCACAGCAGGCTGATCCCCGCAGGCCATGCCCCCCACCAGTGCACAAATCCGTGCACCGGGCCCCTAGTAGATAATAATAGAGACCAAGAATCCCTGTGCATCTGGTGGCAATATATCCTAGTAGTTGAGTGGGGGCTTTGACAACATCAATTGTCTAACACTGCCACCTTTGTTTTTCTTTAACTATATGATCTTGGGAAAATTACTTATCCAGTATGTCTCCGTTTCCTCATCTTTAATTAATGTAATAATAGAGCTCACTTCATCAAGATGAATTAATATACTTTAAGGGGATAGAAACATACTTAATAAATGGGATTTGTATTATCTCTATGAAATAGGTATGGCACTTCTAGAAATATTTTAAATATTTAGTCTTTATTTAATCTCCTGATGTCATTTATGAGCCATTATTATTCTCATTGTATGGTTGAAGAAAAAGGGGAAAGTGAAATTAGAAACCTGCTCCAGAGGATTCCATTTGACAGTGGCAGAGTAGAAAGTTGAACTCAGGGTTATCTCACTACAAAGCCTATTTCGCCATCTGCCTCCAGGATGAGGCAATTATCATCCTTCCCTAGAATGACAGCATTGAAGCTCAGTCTGCATATCTTATGTTGTGGTATAATTTTCTTTTTACAATTATTTTACCTATTATGAAACTATTGATTAAATCTATTTGCCTCAGTTGAAGGCTATAATGAGAATTTTAGACTTTTATAAAAAGAATCTTTAAAATACCTTAAAATAAACAATTATTAGGTGTTTTTGTTTTGTTTTCTCTGTTTATTCATACCTTTATATAATAGCATGTATGTGTTAACTACTATGTGACTAATGTTATAGGTGAAATGAAAATCAAAAAGTATTAATGCTAAGTGCCACTTCTAAAAGTATTATCTAAGGAGAAGAGATGAGACAGCTCTTCATTCAATTTATAATAAAATATTCAACATTATCTAATTAACTACTACCATGAGTAACATAGGAAAGAAAATGCTTAAAGTAACAATGATTTTAGGTAGCTCAATAAAGTAAGTTATGAGATAAGAATAAAATAATGAAGAGAATTCACCTACAACATAAAAGCATTCCAGACAAATGATACAGTGCAAGGGAAAGTGTGCAGGTAGAATTGAGTATGGCTTATTTGGTGTGTGTGTGGGGGGGGCGGGGGAGAGATGAGGAAAAAATCTTATTGGTGCTAAAAATGGAGTTGAGAAGATATAAGAGCTGAGACTGGAGAAAACTATTTCAAAAATATACTATGACCAACTTGGATGATAAATTGCAATGTTTCCATTTTATTCAATAAGTATTTTGGGTCCACTGACAGTTGTGAGCCAAGAAAGTTCTGCAATGAAATCAATATTTTAGAGATATTTCTAAATGATTTTGGGTTTAATACTAAATTATTTTAATAACTTTCCTTCCATCTAAACATGATGGAGTAGGGAAAATGGGAATAGGACTATGTAAATGGCACTAGTCTAAGTGGAGTAAGAGTGTCAACTTCCAGTTTGAAATTTCTGTGCACAATTATGTAGAAGAAAAAATGAAGTTCACTAAAATTTTTCTGGTGAGAAGTGATGGAAAGCTAAAACAGAAAATAAATAGAAAAGTGGTTGCCAGGGGCTGAGGAGTAAGGAAGTATGGAGAGGTAGTAAATGGGTACAAACTTTCAGTTATAAGATGAATAAAGTCTGAGGATTTAATGTATAGTATGGTGACTATAGATGATACCACTGTATTGCATAATTGAAATCTGTTAAGAAAGTAGAAGATAAATGTTCTCTCTCTCACACACACACAAAGGTAAATATCTGAGATAATTAATATGTTAATTAACTCAATAGAAATCCTTTCACAATGTATATGTATGTCAAGTCATCATAATGTATACTTGAAATATCACAAATCTCTGTCAATTAAACCTCAATAAGTCTGAAAAAATAAAGTACCCATATTTCTAAAGGAAGTGCAAAAAGAATATGGTCAAAATAGCAAAAGCCAGGAAGAGGAAAAATATACTTAATTTAAAAAAAAAAAAGAAAGCAAAGAGGATGACAGAATAAAGTCCAAACTTAGATACTAGTTATAAATATATATGAGTAGATTAAATTTCTCAATTGAAATTTGACCAAAAGTGGTAGGAAAAGTTTAAAAATAAAAGGATGGGCTGGTAAATTCAACCAAAAGAAAGAACAGGCAGGCATTTTTAACATCCCTGAAAGAATTACAGTGCAAGTAATTAAAATAATAAAAAAGGGCCTAACATGCAAATAATAAAATGGATAATAAATATTAGTACCTATAGGATATTCACAAAAGATATCTAAGTGATCGTTTTATATCTGAAGTAATGTTTGTTCCCATAGTTCCCAGTTGAATGTAAATTTGTACAAATATTCTAGAGAATAATGGGGAAGGGGGAATCACAAAATTTTAATAATATATATAGTCTTTGACTCAGAATTCCTTTACTAGGAATTTGCCTTAAGGAAATAATCATGAATGAATACAAAGATTTGGGTGAACAGATGAACAGATGTTCACTTAAGCTCATTGTTTATATTAACAATAAATGGGAAACATGTAAATGTTCAACAAGAGACTTCTGACATTAAGTATATGTCTTTGGGGTGAAATATGATTAAATATCATTCAACTTTTAAAAATTATAACTTAGAGGAATATTTAATGACAAGAGAAAATATCCCAATATATTAAGTTTATAGAACAGAGGTAATGGGAAACAAGAAGATGTGATATCCTATCTAATAATAGACAAATAGGGTAATTAACCGTACCTCCGATACGCTTCCCATTGGCTAATCAGGGAGATATGCAAATTAACTGCCAACCAAGATGGCGGCCGGCAGCCACGCAGCTGAAGCGAACATGAGGCTTGGTTGCCCCGGCGATGGAGGAAGTCAAGGTTCCCCGCCTGCAGCGGCCTGGCTCTGAGCTGCACTCTAAGCAACTATGTTGCAATTATAGAAGCTAAACAAACCCCAGATACCTGCTTTCAGCAGCCGAGACCTCAGAGCTAGAGCCTGGACTCAGAGCTAAAGCCGGCTCTCAGCTCCAGTGACAGCCATAGAAGGTAAATAAATCCCAGAATTAAAAAAAAAAGAAGAAGAAAAAAAGGAGAGGTTGGGAGCTTCAGTCGCTCACCAGCCTGAAAATGGCCCTCAGCCCCTCACCCAGGCTGGCCAGGCACCCAAGCGGGACCCCCACCCTGATCCGGGACACCCTTCAGGTCAAACCAGCCGGCCCCCACCCGTGCACCAGGCCTCTGCCTATATAGTAAAAAGGTAATATGCAAACTGACCCTAACAACAGAAAGACAGGGAATGACTGGTCACTATAACACACACTGACCACCAGGGGGCAGACGCTCAATGCAGGAGCTGCCCTCTGGTGGTCAGGGGGCTCTCACATGGGGAGCTCTGCTCAGCTACAAGCCAGGCTGATGGCTGCCAGTACAGCAGTGGTGGTGGGAGCCTCTCCTGCCTCCTCAGCAGCACTAAGGATGTCTGACTGCAGCTTAGGTCTGCTCCCCGCTGGCAAGTGGACATCCCCCGAGGGCTGCCGGGCTGCCAGAGGGATGCCTGATTGCCATCTTAGGCCCAATCCCCCAGGGAGCAGGCCTAAGCCAGCAAGTGGTCATCTCCCGAGGGGTCCCAGACTGCGAGAGGGCACAGGCCGGGCTGAGGGACCACCCCCCCTCGCGAGTGCACAAATTTTTGTGCACCGGGCCTCTAGTATATATTTAATTTCAAAAATCCTAGTGGATATGATTTTCATCCCTCTCCTTATATCCTTTTACTTAACTTGTTACCCAGCACCTACCATGTACCTTAAAGAAACCTCAAGTCTCAGCTATGCAGAATATCTGATGACAAATTAGTAGAAGACATGGTGCCTACATCTGAGATCAGGACAGAGAAGTTAAAACTACTTTGCTCCAATGAGAGTTGCAGCACTTGGACCATCCCATCTCTCCATTCCCTCCTTTTACCAAATTTATATGTGAAGAAAGAGATTAAAATCATGTATAGTAAGCCTACATGTATAAAGACATAATTAAATATAAATGAGATGATCAGGAATATATATATATTTTTTTTTCATCACATCAGACAATTCACAAAACTACTTTGCTCCAATGAGAGTTGCAGCACTTGGACCATCCCATCTCTCCATTCCCTCCTTTTACCAAATTTATATGTGAAGAAAGAGATTAAAATCATGTATAGTAAGCCTACATGTATAAAGACATAATTAAATATAAATGAGATGATCAGGAATATATATATATAATTTTTTTTCATCATCAGACAATTCACATGGATTCAGAAAATAAATAAAGCTAGTTTATGAAGTTGCATTTCTCACCCATATTTTTTCAGGAAGAAATTTATACTTGCTACATTAAAATATTCTTACTGGCAGTTGTTTTTGAAAAATAACCATATATTCAAAAATTTGGTGACAAGAGTGGCATTTACATTTTTGGAAATCTCTTTGATGTCCTAATTGAAGACAGTTGGATTCTTACATTTTCTTCCCTGCAACTAATCTGTCGCAGCATGATTTTTTTGTGTGTGTGAAGTATATAAAGAAAATCTATTGTCCCACAGATATGTAATTAGAAAAGGGAGGAGAATTTTCAGATAAACTGCAAATATTCTTTA